GCAGGGAGTCTGCTTCTCCCTCTGACCCTCCCCCTTCTCATGTGCTCTCTCTCATTCTCTCTCTCTCAAATAAATAAATAAAATCTTTAAAAAAGAAAATGTAATAATATCAACGAGAGATGATTGGTTGGTTGGTTGGTGGCATGTACCCGCCCAACTCCAAAATACATATTATGTACTGTGCTAGGCTGCATTATGGCCCCCCAAATCGTTCCATGTCCTAATCGCTGGAACCTATGACTATGTTAGCCTTACATGGCAAAGGGACTTTGCAGATAACGTAAGGCTTTTGAGATGAGGAGATGCTGGGTTATCTGTGTAGGCCCAGATAAGACTCACAAGAGTCTTTACAAAAGGGAAGAAAGAGGTCAGAGAGAAGGCAATGTGACGTTGGAAGCAGAGATTAGAATGATGTGGCTCTAACCCAAGGAATGCTAGAAGCCTCAAAAAGCTAGAAGGGGCAAGGGGTAGATTCTTTTCTGAAGCTTCCAGAAGGAAGCAGCCTCTGGACACCTTGATTTTAGCCCTCTAAGACTCATTTTTAGACTTCTGACCTCCAAACCCTAAGTAAAGAATAAATGTGTGTTGTGTTGAGCCACTAAATTTGTGGTGATTTGTTAAAAACAGCAACAGGAAATTAGTACATATACCATACAGCTGTTAAATTAAGAGAGGAGAAAATAGGGGTGCCTGCTGGCTGAATTGGTAGAGCATGCAACTCTTGATCTCAGGGTTGTGAGTTCAAGCCCCACATTGGGTCGAGAGATTACTTAAAAATAAGAAATCTTTTAAAAGAGACAGAGAGAGGAGAAAATAGAAAAAGCAAGAGCTTATTCTATTTAATTTTATTGAAATATTAATTTGTAGGCAAGATTTTCTTTTTATAAACTGCATGTAGACAGTATACTTGAAAACTTACAAAACAAAACCTCAATCAACTCCCACAGCAAGACATTGGATCATCTCTAATAATAAAATTTTTTGAACTCTGCTAGTAAACAAGCCCATATTAGGAATTATTTTAAAAATTGTATTTGGCATTTCTATCACTTGTCTTAGCCTCAGTAAGAGTTGAGCTCAATATTCTCCCTTTTTTGTATTTCCATTTTGGAAAATCAGGAGTCATGTAAGTTACAGTAAAATTATTTAGGACTGTCCATGCATTTCTCTGTTCTTCCCCTGTTTCATATTTTGGAGGCAGCTTTACATTCTCTAGCATCACTCCCTTTACCATTAAATCACCATCATTCATTTATTCATTCAATGGGCAATTACTGACATATTACACATATATACATACACACACACACACACACACATATATATAAGTATACATACATATCGTTCATATATAGAGAGAATTAAATTATTCCCTTTATAGTAGATATGTTGAAACAGTGAAGATTCTGTTTGTCAAAAAGATGAATCTCAGAACACGACCTCATGTCCTAGAAAGATTCTTTAGGACATTATTATTTTTTTTTTTAAGACTTTATTTATTTACTTGCCAGAGAGAGAGAGAGAGCACAGCAGGGGAAGCAGGGGGAGCGGCAGGCAGAGGGAGAAGCAGGCTCCTCACTGAGCAGGGAGCCCAATGTGGGACTCTGTCGATCCCAAGACCCTGGGATCATGACCTGAGCTGAAGGCAGGTGCTTAAATGACTGGGCCACCCAGGCACCCCTCTTTAGAACATTACTAAACAGTGGTTTGAGAGCATTTAGGAAAGAGACCGTAATCCAGGAGTCAGCAAAATGTTTTCCTGGTGGCTTCTAGCATGACTAATCCAGATGGAGTAGGCATTCACCTAATATAGGAGCTTCTGAAAAGTGCTGTTGTCCCAATATACTCCACACGCCACAGGCTCCAACTGGTATGAGACTCTGTTTCCCACAGAGTACTTAGGAATATGTGAATGCCTTGCTTAGAAAAAATGTTCTTGCCAAGCTTATATAGGTATGACTTAAAAATTAATCACAGTATACTTTGTAAATTTGCCACACTGGTTTACAAACCACAGCATAGCAAGGATAGCCCTACAGAATCCTTCTAGAGCATCTACTGAAACATTCCCAGGGAACGGGACCCTCTCTCTCTCTCTTCAACCTATTCATTAGACATTTCGTTTACATACAGCTAAATTCTGCCTCTGTTTAACATCAACTCTTTGTTCACCTATAAATAACAAATAAAATTCTGTCTCTCTATTCTAAGACTTAAAGATAGCTATCAGCTCCTCCTGCCTAAATCTTCCTTTTCCCAAGTTATCGGTCATTAGGGAGATGCAAATCAAAACCACCATGAGATACTACTTTATACCTATTAGAGAGGCTAATATTAAAAACAAACAAACCAATAATCCATAACAAGCATTGATGAGAATGTGGAGAACCCTAATGCACTGCTGGTAGAAATGTAAAATGGCAGCCAACTTTGGAGAAGTTTGGCAGCTCCTCAAAGTGTTAAACATAGACTTACCATTTAACCTGACATTTCACTACAAGGTATATACCCACAAGAAATGAAAACATAATGTCCACACAAAACCTATACATAATGTTCATAGCAGCATTCATTATTCATAGTAGCTAAAAGAAACCCCAACCTACTCATTAACTGATGAATGAATAAACAAAGTACAGTATATCTATACAATGGAATATCATTCAGCAATAAAGAGAATAAAACAGTAAAAAGAATGAAATGCTGACACATGCTACAACATGGGTGAACTCCGAAAACAAGGTTCATTAATATGCATGAAAGAAGCCAGTCACAAAAACCATATATTGTATGATTCCATTTATACGGAATGTCCACAATAGGCCAACCCATGGAGACAGAAAGTAGATTAGTGGTTGCCAGGGGCTGGGAGGAGAGGGGAAAGGGAAGTGACTGCTGGAGACCATGGAGATTCTTTTTTGGGTGATGAAAACATTCTAAAGTCAGATGTGATAATGGTTAACAAACAAGTCTGTGAATATACTAAAACTGGCTGAATTACATACTTTAAAGGGTGAATCATATGCATGTGAATGATATCTCAATTAAGCTGTTATAAAAAAACATAGATTCTGAACAACTTTTACAATTCTGCTTTATAATTTACTATCTCTCAGGCCTCACTGACATCAATATAGCTGTGAAATGAACTTTTCAAGACATCGAATGTAGAATCTCCCATTTAGAAAAATAAAATTTCAACAAAACAATTTTTAATAAATTCTGAAATTTGTCATACTAGACAAATTAAACCAAACTATTGAAAGCATGAGGTTGAAAAATAATAAACTTTAGGCTTAAAAATGTGTGTCATGACTACAAAGCATAGTTGAAACATTTTTTTTGATAAATTAAAAACGTGAAAAAGTAAAAGCATATCATCATTGGTGTTTATATAATTAACCTCAGATGTTATGAAAAGAACTAAAGCAGTTTGTTTGATTTGGCTGAACATACATTAATTACTTAAAAATAATGCATAGCCTTTAAAATAAGCATGTTTAGAATGTCTGTCCAGTGATTTAGAATTAACAAATATTATTCTGTTGCTTAATCTTTCTATTTGTTTTATTGAGGTTGGCTAAATTAGTTAACATAAACTCAAACACAGCATATTTCCAGCATACTTTTGATAAAATGTTTCACAAACATATACTTTTCTACATATGTTTAAAATAGCTTTCTTACATTGTATTTCCCAGGAAAAAGATATAGTGACAGAAATTTGCATACAGGAAGTTTATTGTAAAGTGGTCTCAGGAATAAAAATTGTGAGGAGTTAAAGAAGCAGGATTGGGCAAGAGAAGTTGAACTATGGGGAAATTGCAAGGAAGTCTTCAGCAGATCCCACAGAAGCTCGGGAGCTTAGATAGTCCTTCAGCATTGTCCCAAATTCAGGTAAGAGGACTGGATTTTTGTACTCCCACATAGACCAGCTACTGGGTTTGGGCTGCTTCTGGAGAGTGGGTACAACCTTAGGTGAAGCAATTCTTTTCCCCTGAGGGCAGTTCTTGGGGAGGGATTAGCTATGAGCCATCAACAGGTAATACTTCTGCAAGCTGGGGAAATGAGTGCCTTGCTCCAAAAGGGGGTATCCAGACAAGATACCACAGTTCACCCCTTGCATTGCTTGGATTCACCTGGATTCCACTGATTCCATCTGAGGACCATTTCTTCAGGATTCTGGTTGGTTTCTTTTCCTCAGGAAACTTACAAAGAAAAAGTTAGCCGGATGAAGTATGATCCTCACTATGGCAGTTAATCTCAGGACTGCAACGAATATTCAGCATCTCCCTTCCCTTTTAACAGCCTAAATTCTCCTCATCGTTGGCTAGAACTTCTGCTAGCCCGTTGGCTTACCTGCTTAGGTGACCCAGATCCTCATTACTGTGTGATCCAAACTCCTGCTCACTATGCCCTCACCAAGGTCAAGTTGTGCACTTGCTCTTTTACTGTCAAATTAGGCAGGAGAATACTACAAAAGGTCCAGTAGATCACGTAGAACCGAACCTGTTCTTTCCTTCCCCATTGTGTAACACAGTGCTGCCTCCCGCAGTGGTTGTTTGCAATGCAGCCCAAAAGCATAGCTAGCTTCCGCCATCTGGGGCACCTCCAGCCTTTGACCTCTTTCTCTATGTGTCTCACACTAAGGTTACTGATATTTCAGTGTATACTAAACAAACATCTATCTTCCAATTGCATCCTCTATATCTTTTCAACGACATTTTGTTGACAACCAGAATGCCAGCACATTATTTTAGAAATGTTGAGAAGTGGAGAATCTGGGGCACAGTTGATTGAGCATCCAACTCTTGATTTGGGCTCAGGTCATGATCTTGGGGTGGTGGGATCAAGCCACGCATCAGGCTCCATGCTCAGCGGGGAGTCTACCTGAGATTCTGTCTCCATCGCCCTTTGCCCCTCCCCTCACTGATGCATGTGCTCTCTCTTTCTCTCTCTCTCCCTTTCTGTCTCTCTCTCAAATAAATAAAAAAATATTTTTTAAAAAAGTGGAGAACCTGTTCAGGAGGAATGTACTCTCTCTCTTTCCCATGTTAGCTATGTTATTCCAGGATGAAGTTGGTCATATTAACTCTTTCTTCCAAAGGAGTATAGCCTAATTTTTAATGGACTGGTTGGGGGTGAGGGGAGGGAATTTCATTGCATGCTAACTATCTACCAAGTTCCCCACAATTAAGGTGGATATTTATTTAGACAAGATGCATCAAAAAAGTAAGGTATACAGACATCATCTCTGTCCATGCTATGCTGGTTTTCAAGTATTTTGTCTATCACACCTGCAGTTTGATCATTCAAAGGTAAAATGTGGATACATAAAGTTGATTAGTCTTTTTGGCAGCAAAGACAAAGAGCTAGTCTGGAATCTATTTAGAACTTATTTGACAGCATTGACCTCAAGTTCACCTCTGTTATCAATTTAAATGCTTGGGTACACAAGAGTATTTGATTTTTTTTTTTTTTTTGATAGGCTGTCAGGTTATCCACTTCATGTCAAATCCAGCATCCTGTGTTTAATTTCAAATTATATTTGTCCTGCATTTATCCCACTTAATGGTTTTTTAAAAAGCTGCGCTTGACTCTGACTTTTTTCCTTTACACATTTCTCAGGAAAATTTTGCAAATAGGCTGATAAAGTAGACTATATGAAAATGAACAAATATATTTTTATCAGCTCCTTTAAAATATGTAGACATGCAGTAATACAAAAACATTACCCCAATTAGGAAAGCAAGAGGAAAAATAAAGTTAAATTGGAGAATGTTTTTTGAAACAATGTTATAGTTTAATAGTCCAGAGTAGCTCAGTTCTATTTACTTAGGTTTATGGATAAACTTACAGAGCATGAGAGGAATAGTGTAAAAATAGAATGAACTAAGAATTTATCAGCAACCTCATTTACTTTATTTAATAAATGTTGTGGCTTCCCTCAACCTACATGCTCTGCAAGACAAAACAACAGTTTCCCTGCTTTCCATTAGGGTCTGAGAGCCTGGTACATGGCAGATGCTCAATAAATAGATGTCAAACTAATAAATGCATGAAGTTTTTATTGCTCATCGGACACCCCATAATTGCAGGCAACTTCTCTCCTCCCCTCTTTTTATCTTTTAAAAATGTTCTTTATCCCCTCCCCCTCCTCATCAGTCCCCTTCTCTGTCTTTGCTTTCACTAGGAAGGGATTTCTTCCCCTCCCTTCTTCTCCCTTCAAAGTAGGTCACAGGAAGAAATCTAGGAGACAGTCAGGAGGGAATGTTCAGTAGAGAACAGAAAGTTTACACAAGATCACAGAGACTCCTCCTCCACTGTTTTTGCATTTTTGCCAAATTCAGAGAACCCTGAATTTACATAATTTTATTTAGTGTTTAAAAGGGCTGTTGTCCTGTCCTGTGGAGGCCTCACATAATTAAGACAAGAAATCCACAACTGAAAAACACTCCCATCCAGCCCTTGCCCCAATTTCTAAAAGAACCCGACCACTCCCATTTCCCAGAGACAGTCTTTGTGGGACAGTCATCTGTGTTAGGCTTAATATAAGACTCTAAGACTAACCTCCCATTTCCAAAACAAAAGTGGGAGAATCTTCCCTTTCCTCTAAAGAGGTGGGTCTGTATACAAGTTAATAGCAATCACGGTGAGCTTTGACACAATCACCTGTCCTTTCTCTGGGGACCACAGGAGAGGCGCTCCCAGCCATGCAGGGGACAGAGGTTGCAGGTTTTCACCACCACACGCATCCTGGGTGGCGTACTGGCAGAGGGAAGGGAGTGAAGTTATTAGGGCAGCCTGAGCATCCCCAAGGAAACCAGATTCTTCCACGTGCACAGGGGGCAACTGTGAGTCTCAATGAGTTCTTGACCACTTGGCTCAGGTTGACCTGAGAAAGGCCACTAGGTCTGCTCTGTCAGTAGGGCCAGCTAGGTGTGCTTGTGACCTTTAGGAAGAGTGACCAGACATTCAGAAGCTGGTTGCGTGGGCACCCAATAATCATTAAAAAGTTATCACGGGAAGCCAATTTCACTCTTACATTTCAAACATAATATTGATGCTTAAATTCAACTGACTGGAAAAACAGAGACCCATCTGGCAGCAGAGGGGCTGATAAGGACAAGGAAGACAGCCTAATGCATATAAATCACTCTTTTTGTGAGCTCCCGGTTAAGACTACCCTCACTGCATTTCCTCTCATTTCCTCCTTCCTCCCAAACCTTCACCCCTATTCACCTCTCTCTCCACCCACCCGGGCTCTGGCTTCCAATACCAGTATTTCCAATACCAGTTGTGGTTCAGCTAGAAATTAGTGAAATAACATATGCCAATGATCTAACAAGGCACTCAAATGCTAGCTACGTCTAAAATCCCACTCTCTAAAGAAGAGTAAGATCTTAGAAGACTAAGACTCCTCAATTACAAACCTACTTCCATTTTCCATGTAAGGAAATTTGCCTTATTTCTCAGTTGCCCTGACATTTTATTCACACATCATATGTTATAAATGATTTAAACACAAAGCTAATTGAACATGTATAGCACTAATCATATTTTAAGGTTTTTTTCCAGAGAATTAAGGAGGCAAAAGAAAAAGTTTAACATCATACAATGTTACATCTAGTTTTAATGTCGTACATTGAGAAAAATCTTAATTGTATAAATTATTATGTATTTAGTCAAATAAACTTATGGCCATTTAGAAATGTTGCTACCAATATTTTAAGATATTACATCATCCAATAAGAAGTATTCACTACTTTAATTTTAAAGGGGGATATTAAAACAACGACATGGCCATATGTGTTATTAAGAAAAGAGCTACTAAACTGGTAATAATGAATGGTTTGCCATCCAAAGGAAATAAATTGAGCCAAAGTTTTTCTTATTTGACTTGGAAAGCCAAAGTTGAACCTATGTGACAACTGTTGGATCAAAGTAATAACTGAAGCATAAGAAAATTTCTTTTTTTTTTTTTAAGATTTATTTATTTATTTATTTAGTTGAGAGAGAGAATGAGCCAGGGGGAGGGGCAGAAGGAGAAGCAGAGTCCCCCCTGAACAGGGAGCCTGACCTGGGGCTCAATCCTGGGATCATGACCTGAGCCAAAGACAGATGCTTAACCAACTGAGCCACCCAGCACCCCTTAAATTCCTTTTTATTATAATTACCAATCTCCACCTTCTTCTCCTCTGTCTTGCTCTGTATACTCAGCTTAATTTAAATTGTGGACTTAACACGTGATACATTTTCCCTAGCTTTTCATAGCACTAAGATGATATGACTTTTTTTTATATGAGAATGAGAATCGAACTGTAATCAATAAGAATGTTAATTCATTTAAAGATTGTGGGAGTTTAATGCATCAGATGGGCTGCTTTTGAAATGGTTGTACTCCCCACTCCCCCGGCGCCCCCGCCCACTTTGAAACCGTTGTACTTGATGATGGAGCCTCCTTGTGGGGAGTTAAGAGTATTTCAGGCTTTGTAACTACAGGTGAAATGTTGTTTAACATCCCCTCCCTGCTTCACAATGGGAGCGTGTGTCGTTGTGCTGTCAAGAAATTAGGTATTTGTGGGATTCCTGGGGGGCTCCGTCGGTTAAGAGTCTGCCTTCAGCTCAGGTCATGATCCCAGGATCCTGGGATCGAGTCCTGCATCGGGCTCCTTGCTCAGTATGGAGCCTGCTTCTCCCTCCGCCTGCCGCTCCCCCTGCTTGTTCTCTCTCCCCACCACCTCTGACAAATAAATACATAAGAGCTTTAAAAAAAAAAAAAAAAAAAAAACTTAAAAAACGAAATTAGGTACTTGACTTGGGCCCCTGACATCCAGAAATGGGCAGAAGCTTAACACCCACCAGGGAGGACTGAACGCTGCCATCTCTCCGTTAGTCTCTAGTCCCTGAAGCCACAGGTAAAGCAGGGTTAAAAATGTTTTCAGTGACACTGATTGTTAGGTTCCTCAAGAGAGAACAAGAGGATGGTTGTTTCCTTTAAGCTGGCCCATGTACTGGGACCTTTGAGAACACATTAGGCAGATTTTTCTCTTGGCCAAATGTCTACCATCCATCTGTTATAGTCACCAGTGGTTCTTTTTTCCTGCAGAACACACAAAGTGAAGGAGTTGGATCACAGTGACTGCAGGAGCTACAAATGCAGACCAACACTAGTGTGTTCTTCACAATCTGTCACCTCAAGAAGTATAGCAAGTTGTGCTGTGGCTTTCTAAAATGGTGCCTATTGCTTCATAAAAACCTAAATAGAACAAATATAATAAATTTTCTATTTACAAGACAGTTGCACCTCAAGAAACTTTTCGGCGCATACTAAAACCTTCTTCAAAATACAGTGTTTCTATGCAGAATGGATTCGAGGTGTGGAATTACATAATGATCCATAGATTATCAGCTGTTTCAGCATCTGGCAGGACGTTTGAAAACCGTCTGGAATGAAGGACCATTCTTCATGGGACAGTATTCTGTTATGCTTTGCAGGACATCTAGCATTCCTAGACACCACTCACTACGTGCCAGTGACATTGTGACACCAAAAATGCTCCCACAAATTTCCAAAGTACCCCTTAGGGAGGAGTAAGACTCATTGATAAGAACGACTCTGTCTTCTCATCATGGCCTTCACTGTCAGATTCATGTTTTGTTTTGTTTATGTTGGAAAGGCCAAGATAATGAGAAGACAAGCCATAGACTGAGAAAGATATTTGCAAGAGATAAAGGATTGTTATCCAAAACAGACAAAGAACTTTTAAAAACTCAACTGTAATACAAGGTTTTTCTTCGCTGTTTCTTTCCCAGCTTCTCTCTGGTCAACCATCTGGCGAACGTTTTAGCTTGTATCTCTGATGAAGCTATTAGAGCCTTCTCTGAATTTTTTACCACCAAAACTCCATTGTTTTGAGAATGCCCTTAGACTTAAACTTCCCCACACTCTCTCTCTATTAAAGTTAGTTGCTCTGGGGAGAGCTTTAGCATTCTCTGTTTAAAGTCCTGTCTGTCTGTTTAAAGTCCCTAGCCAAAATACCTGAGCCAGAGCCCTGAGGCTGGGGGCAGGGACAGTGGCCCGCTTCTTTTGGAGTGACACTGCACTTCAGGAGCAGGGCACTGCAGGTGGGCAGTAGCCTCTGGTCTTCTCAGCTTGTCTCTCCCAAGATGGAGTCTCCATCCTACAAATGAGCTGGGTGGAGGAAAATCATGACACTGGTATTCCCAGCATGCCATCCCTAAGGTCAAGCATCTGCCCTATGGATGGGGGCTAGGTGGGCTACCCTCACCTGGAATTTAGCCTCTGCAACATGTAGCTGACAAGATGAGATATTCTCATGGCCGGTTCCTCCCAGGGAGATAACACAGTCCTCAACTGAAAGCTGGGAAAGAGGGAGCGGAGTTTCTGTCCCACTGGGCTGGGAGCAGGGAGAGGGGGAGTGGATTATAATTCAAATGCCACTGACTCTTGCTCTTCTTATTGAATTACAGTAGATTTTCTCGAATAAATGTTTCTTCATTTGCTGTGTGCTGTTATGAATTTCCAGAGACTTCAAATGGCTGCTTTTTAAGTACTTTTGATCAGTTATACTTGTTTCACTGGGTAGTGGGTCCACAGAGATCCTCACTGCCATTCCACAAATGGAACTCCCCCTGTATACTTGATATATCATTTTGACTTATTGACCTAATGATATCAAAAATATCAAATAATCAAAAATATTTAAAAATAAATTTTAAAAAGCAGCCGGAGACAGCATTATGGGTGTGGCACAACCCTCCATGATGCTGAGATGGAGTAATAATCTTTTGTGTTCAAAGAGGAGCTCTGGAGTGGTCCACAGCTAGAGCTGGGTCCTCCTGGATAATCATGCGGCAAACTTTGGATGTGACGACACTGATCGGTGGAGGCCAGTAAGGGATGGATGACCACTGAAGGTTGGTGTTTCCCAATGCTTGGTGCTAAATAAGCCCCCAGAACCTAGATACTGCCATCTTAAGTGTCTGCTATGTGGCCGAATGGAGGATTGGGAAAAAATTGAATTGCATTAAAACGACAACTTTCTTGCACCATTAAATTTATAGACTAGGGTTTAGATCAGCTGTAAAAGTATAGGCAGGTTTTTTTTGGACAAGTTCGGCTGAAGGCAGGATGCTGAGGGAGAGAAAAGGGAAGAAGGAATAGGAGAGGCTTTCAGGTTTGTTTGTTTTTTTTTTCCTTGTAAGTGAGAGCTTATGGGCTCATGGGAGGGATCTGGTTTAACGAGAAAGACTAAGGATACCAGGGAAAGATCATTGATAGCATGAGATTCCTAAGGCTGGAGAGGGCACTGGTTTCTTTACAATTGGAAAGACAGAGCTGAGGACTGGTATAAATCCAGTTTAGTTTGTAAGCTTTGATGGCTAAAATATGAAGGTCTATGCATCTGATGGCATCTACTTTTCTTGGTGAAGAAGGAACAAAGTCCTCTTTCAAGAGGGGACTGTCAGTTATAAGTTCGAGCAGAGAGTCTGAAGGGTCACTAGAGTGAGCAGCAAGTGAGCTGACAAGCAAAAAGGTTCAAATTGTTGGGTGGGGGAGAGGGGCTGGAGAGGCCATGGACTCTAGGTGCAGAGAGTACTAATTGATCTATGACTCTTCTCTAGTTGTGCTCAGCTACTCTGGAGCAGGAATGGAGAAGACAGATGATCGGGGTCATCCAGGGCTGGGATTATTCCAGAAAATAACTGCTCAGAATATCTTCACATACTTTAAAATCACATATCTTATGTTCTCTATATCAAACAAATCCTTTCTTTCACATTTTATGATATCTGTTTCCCCATCCCTTTGATAATTGTCTTTATCCTCTCTGGGCCTTTTCCAGGTTTCCCATTTTCTTTTACAAATTAGTGAGGAAGCACGTGCAGTGGTTAAGGTAGGACTTCTGGCACCAATTTGCTAGGTACAACTCTTATGTCTAGCACACACGTCCTGTGTAACCTTAGGCAAATCACATAGCACCTCTGTGCCTCAATTTTCTCATCTGTAAAATGGGGGGTAGTGATAATATAGTACCTTCCTAGAGAGTTGCTTTGAGGATCAGATGGGGTCATGTATGTACTATGCTGAGTGTGACTTGTTGCTGTTATTGTCATTCCAATGAAACACCCAAACTGGTAGCAGAATGAGACATGAAGGATGACATCCTGGCCTTTATGTGTTATGCAATATTTAATACATCCCAATATTTCATAGCTTCTCTTTCTTCTTTTTAAACAAAATCACTGTAATTGTACACTCAATCAGCGTGAGAAAAAGTCTAAGTCTTAAATTTGAGAGTCATTTGTTCTCCATCTTTTATTCAAGGCATTATTTTCCGTCTCAAAGTATTTACAGCTGGACCAGATTGGTTACTGGCCCTTACATATCTTTCGCTTCTAAATCCATCTCTTTTGATAACCACTTCTGAAAATGCTATTACCTTTTCTTCCCCGCAGGTAGAGTCCTGATTAGGGCCAATTTTTATAAAGCACAAGATCCTCAGTTAGACTGTAAGCCCTCTTAAAGCAGATGCTGTGATTTCTACCTTTCAGTAGCCTGAGCACCCACGAAGTTGCCCAGTGTAAAGTAGGAAATAAAAACTGTAGATGATGGTGGTGATGATGATGATGGTGATGTTGGTGATGTTGGTGATGATGGTGATGGTAACAGAGGTGATGATGTTGCTGCTGATGAAGATAATGATAGTACCCCAAGTTCTCATCCTTAGTTTCCCTATCCACTGAACTTTTGGGGGGCAACAGAGGGTAGAGAAGAGAATATAGGGCTCCAAAGCCGGACGGACTGTGGTTCAAATCCTAGTTCTATCACTGACTAGTTGTATAGCCTCAAACAAACAAACAATAATGTAATTTTTTAAGCAACTTATTAGCACTGTTCTCGCTTTCCCCTCCCATTTTTGCTTACAGCTCCTGGCAGAATGATCTCTTCTCCAAGCTATCCCTTTTGTAAAACTTTCTACTACTACACACCAAGAGTTAGGATGGGCTTCCTTTCCTGCCTTGAAGTCCTTCGTGCTCCCACCTTGTCACTTCCAACCTCTCCGATTTTTCCTTCACTCACCAGGAAAGTTTATTCCATGCCATGTTTATTTTTAAATATCTTCCCTCGATTTCTCTTTTCAGGCAATACCACATTCACCTCCTTCCCCTAAGATCCCTAACTCTCTCTCTGCCTTTACTCACAGTTGCTGAATTCCTATTCTCTGATAATTTTCCTAACTGGAAGACTTTATCATTTCCTCCGAAATGCCAGACATGACTTCCATTTTCTCAGAATGCCAAAAACCACACAATTATTTTGCCTTTAACAGACAAACACTGTAGGTATTTGTTAAATGTTAGTTCAGCTGCATTAAGTCTGTGTGTGTGTATATATATACATATACACACACATATATATATGAGTGCTAAAGAGGAGAGATTATCTCATCCACTTTGTACTACATTGAGTGTAGCAAGATATATACAGATAACTTATAAACTTATGATTGTGATGATGCCTTGAGCACGGGAAAAAATTAAGTATCTTTAGCTCTGACACGAATCATGTATTTCCATCTTTGATTACAAAATAGTGACATACACCCACCTATCACACAAAAGTTCAAATACTCATTAACATCTTTAAATACAAGGAAAAAATGGTGGCTATTTCACGTTGAAATCTTTATATGATAGCTGATGTCATGCCATATCCAGTTTATTTTTTTATTATGTTATGTTAATCACCATACATTACATCATTAGTTTTTGATGTAGTGTTCCATGATGCGATATCTAGTTTAAAGTACTTATTCCAGTAAGGCTGTGAAATGTTGAAGACAAGAGGGGCAGGTGGAGGAAAGGAAAGAAAGAGGGAGAAAACATAAAAATATCTTTTAAAATTCTGAGCAAATGATTCTGTGAATAGTGGCATTTAATGAGAGAAATTTCACACACACAAATCGTGAATGGTGCTTTTGAATTTTAAAAAGTATCTTTGTTTTGCACATTTCTGAAAATATCTCCGGCTTGATTGAAGTTTCTTTCTGACTTTATGCCCAAATTATTAACACCCTATTACATGTAATAATACCATGTCTATTCTCCCTGTCTAATAACAACCACATTTTTTAGACAAATCATGTTTGTAAAAGCAAGGATTCATTTTTTTCATAAACTTCCAAATGTAGGAAAGTATAATGCTCTTGAAAGCTCTACCCTTATTCCAAGAATACAGCCACTTCTCAAAATATTTTTAGAATTCTTCTTTGTAATCATCTTGGGTTGTGAGCCACATAGGAAAGCCAATCTTGTTACTTCATAGGGCTCTCATTTTTGTATACCTAAAAAAAAGTGGCATTACTCACCTGATTCAATCAACTTGACTTCAAATTACATTTTTGGCTGCATTTAAAATTCAAATTTACCTCAAAAGGCAAGATTTTCTACTATGAAAGTGTTTTATATATATATATATGAAAATACTCTGAGAACAGCATCCCCCCAATGATTAGAAACAAAAGTAGCAGGTGAGGGTAAGGGGAAAGCTTTAAAGCTTCCCAAGGCAGATAATTTTGGCGGTAGAATGAGGGGCATTAATTTTTAAAGTATAATCTTGGAATATGTTTTTAAACAGCCACACTTCTTTATGTTCATACTTCTCCTTGCCCTTCAGATGGTTGATTTTCTGGTAGTAAGACACAATTTCAAAATCCTAAAATGGTTTAAAATGGGATATGAATATAAAATTTCCCACAAATGTTACAGGGACATGGGGTGGGAGGAAGTGCACCAAAGTGTGTAAAGATAAGAATTTTTCGTTTCTAACCTGAGCACCCAAAGCATGTGTCAAAGATGCGAGTTCTAACAATCTCCAGTTTTGTCGGATGCTGGTGATTTGGAGGGGCCTTCAAGTAATTCTGAAGGTCTCCATTCTTTCCTGAAACGCTATGTATTTGAACAAATCCTGGTTACATTCAGTGATTTTGTTTGTTCGTTTCACAGTGTGATTCCTGTAATATGAGCTTATCAGTAATAGTGAATTCTATTTTTGTCATTTTTGGCACTTACAGTTCACAATGCTTGGTTGTGTGGTTTGATACTGTTTTAATTTTTGCATTTTACATTTGGCACTTTTGAAGAAGGGCACATTGTCTTGTACGTCGTTTTGGGGGAAGTGGTAAGCCTCCCCCTCCGTCTCTTTTTTTAAACGTCTGGCTTTATGAAATACACGATTCTCCCCGGAATCCTGCATCATTAAACGGAGCAGGTGAAAATTTGCCTTCACAAGCTATGCATCCTGGCCCTTCTTAGAGGCTGGTATCCCCCGCTTGGGATTTAGGTTGTTTGACCGCTGCTGTCACAGGCCCTGGGGGTCCCTCCCTGCAGAAAAGCACAACTGGATTTTTTCGGGCCCACATGGCCACATCCCCTCCCATCCCGCTGGCCCGGCTGGAAGAAGACATCCTGCTGCAGGCTCCCAGCCGGTTGGCATAGCGGTTTCGAAGGCGACTGCGGCTTCTGGCCTGCAGCCGGGGGCCCTGGCTGGGCAGGAAGGCGTCCACGTTCCTAGTCCGGTAGCCCTCTTCCCGGTTGCGTCCCAGGAGCATCGAAATGTTGGGGTTGCGAATGGCATAGATGACAGGGTTGATGGCCCCATTGGCCCAGGTCAACCAGACAGCCACCACGTTGAGGAGCGAGGGGGCTTGCGTGGCCTGGGCCTGCCGGGCCGCGGCCAGCAGCACCAGGAAGCAGTAGGGCCCCCAGCAGCCGATGACGAAGACGATCATGATCAGCACGGTGGTGGCCGTGCGCACCTCGCTGAAGAAGCGCAGCACGCGCGCGTACGTGGTCAGGGGCCGCACGCGCACGTCGCACAGGCGCACCGTCTTGCAGATGTGGTAGTGGCAGAAGCACATGAGCAGGAAGGGCAGCAGGTAGCAGGCCACCACCAGCCCCACGCTGTAGGCCGCGCCCAGCTGCGCAGGGTCCGGGGACGTCCGGTACAGGCAGCCGTGGAAGCTCTGTGCCGCCGGGGGCTCGCGGGGCGCGCGGAGCAGCTCCCAGGGCAAGGAGAAGCCCAGGGCCGCCAGCCAGGCGCCGGCCAGCAGCTGCAGGGCCCGGCGGCGGCCGATCTTCTCCCGCGGCGGCCGCACGATGGCGCAGTAGCGGTCCAGCGAGATGAGGGCCACGCTGAGCGTGGACACGATGCCGAAGCACGAGCTGAAGAAGCGGCTGGCGGCGCAGAAGCCGCGCCAGGGCCCCGCGGCCGGGGAG